AGTCAGCATGCAATGCAGTGGACGAGTCATCTTTTCCCCGTGCCTAAACGTTTGTTTCCGGTTCGAGATTTCTATTCTTGTTCTTATTCCCTTTAGCTCTGGGGCCAAACGTTTCGGTTTGGGCTCTAGCTCTTGCGCTCCGCCACAATATAATCACCCGAAACAGGTAGGTCATCTCGTACATCAGAGATCAAAAACATTCGATATTCATAAGGTAGCTTGTGTGCGCCTTGCCATCAGAAGGAATGACAGTCCGTCCAAGCGTTGTGTTCTATGTAAGTGTAATAAACATGAAATTGGGTTGCTAAACAATGCCTCTTAACAAAAGAAAGAAGAGAAAAGAAAGGAACAACAGGATTAAAACGGGGTATAAAGAGAAGTGAAAAAAAAAGAGTTTAATCATACACTTTCCGTCATGATGTCGTTAAGATATTCCCGAGTCAGCCTTGCCCTAGGACTAGCGTCCGCTGTGATAGTATCGCGGATCATGGGCGTAAGCGCTCTGGTCATACTCGCCGCCCCAGGCTTCATTCGAGTAGCCCTGCGAGTACCCTGGTGCATCCCACTGCTGGTAGTTTGTGTCATAGCCTTGCATGCTGAACTGGTCTCCCGAGGGCCCAGCCGTGGCATAGCCTCCAGCGCTCTGGTCAGCGCTCGAGAGCAAGTTGAGATCGAAGCCGTCTTCAGGGCTGAGCTGTGAGAAGTCGAACTGGCTCAGAACACCCCCTGCTTCGTCTCCCGAGGTGACTATTCGCGACGAGTGTCCGTGATGCTTGCCAGAGCGCTTGGAAGAGCTGCCCCCTCGTCGGGAGCTTGAGCTCGATGGACTGTCGCCGTCGTTGGACTTGCGAGGACTGCTCTTCTTCTTGGAAGACTTGGAGCCGGAGCGTGTGTACTCGCAGCGAAGACCATTGCTCCGACATCGTTCGCAGCCATTCTTGTCTCCACTGCACTTGAGCTATACAGGACATCGTCAGCAAATAAGCTCTAAGCGAAAAGGGCGAGGAAAGATCTTGGCGTTAGGAAGGCCTTGTTGGGCAGGCCAATGCTCCTGCAGACATACCTTCTTCTCATGACAGCGATCGCAAGCCTGGTGGGAACTGGAGCGGGCCGTGACAGGGTCGAAGCCATTGCGAACGCTCTGGACCTCATCTGTCTCAGGATCGTACTTCCAAGTACCAAACATGGCTATTGCTATTTCTGATAACGGACTGGTATAAGTGAGCGAGTCCTAGGTGGCCCATAGAACGATTGGCGAGAAGAGAAGGGGATAAGAGAGGTGGTAATAGGCAACTGAATTCTGCAACTGATTGTATGTATATCGGCTCAAGTGTAGATATGCTTGAATGGAACTTGTGTCTTATTTTCTGCCTGAATGGAAAGCATCTCGTGGCGTTTTTAAACCCCGAGGCATCTGGTATAAGAGCGTCCGTGGACAAGGTAGAGGTCTTATAGGCAACAACGGGACTTGATCCAATCCAATGCAATCCCAACCCAACCCAAGCCAACAGAGTGTTGTAGTGAGCGAGCCCATTATCCCGGACCCCATTTTCCACAGTGGGCATGAGGTATCGTGCCGAGCCGCACTGCCAGGCTCCCGTCCATGGGATGTGATACCTTTTGGGTCGGTTTGGTTTAGGTAAAGGGCAGTTGGTCGAGTCGCACCCCTGTATCCGATCTATATGATGCTCCGGGTCTCCGTCTAAGTGGTGTCCCTTGCACGACACACACCGCACTAGTCATGCCGGCTCCTTCAGGAGCGGTTTTTGGCATAAGGTGACGTATTTTCTGAGCGTGTTGATTACGTTGTTCCTCTATTTTAGAATCTAGGCTGCCTGATTTCTACTGAGTTGTTTAAGTTTCCGTAGCGTTCTTTTTCGGTGGTTTATTGTCTCTCGTGTAAGGTTATGTAATGCAGGTTGGTAGTGTAGGTAGTCTAAGTGACCCAGTCGAGTTCAGGTGGAAACTGGTGAGATCCCTGCGATATGAGTGGTCCAACTCCACCTGTGCCTGGAGGAGGAGGCTAAGAAGGCTGGAGGAATTCCTACGAGCATTATCCGTCGAATAAGAGAAACAAGTGTGCGACGATGCTCAAACTCTGTGTGGCTGTGTCTGCGTCTGCCCTGGAAACAAGAGTTCTAGAGTCCAGTCTGTATATATTGATAGTATGAAGAGTGTAGCACTGCATGCAGGGCCCCCAATTCCTCCATTGGGCGCTTATCGATTGCCACGTTCAAGGCTATGTATGTTATGTATCCTCTTTTCCCACAATCCAATGCCAGTAAGAATCACATTCTGCTGTCTGCCGAGTGCCTTGCATCCTTTGATCTACAACATATGATGTAAAACAGCTGCTCCAACTGTGCCAGCAATTGCCCGTCTGTTGGTTGTTGGTTGCTAACTTAGTCCCGGCCGTGGGGAAAGGCAACGCCGCAATTTTTAGGCAAAAGCCTCCACAGTCGGCAGCGAACCGACAGGCGAACCCTTGAACGTCATAACATTAACCCCAATCGAGACTGCAATATGGTATTATCGTGCCATAAAGACACCGAGGCTTGAATCACTGCCCCTCTAGTCGGAGTTTTTGAATCAGGTGGATCACAAGGTTATTTAGACAATAACGATGAAATTACAACAAAATACGATTTAAAGTGGTTGCATGAGGTTCTTCAGGGAGGGCACGGTGAGTCGATATCAACGGTGATGGGGGTGGCAGAGCTACGTACTGGATAGGACAGCACCTCAGTTGTGAGTGATAATATAACAATATTGATATGATATCCCAGTATCAGCCTTGTACGGCACGGCATGTTACATGAGTGGTGGGTTTTACGCGCGATGGTTCGAATTTAGGCAGACTGTGGAGGCTGAGGCTGTCACTCTTGGAATCCCCTCATCACTACGGTATCATGGGACTTGACGATGCAGGCCTCAGAGCATATTTTCTCGTATATTTGTGATTTTCCATCCAAAACTACCTACTCTTACACTCGTCGGTATCGTCATATTCATCCGTGTCTTACTGCTCACCCTTCAACCATTAATCTCCACAAAATCTCGCGTCTATCACCCTCAATCTTCACATCTGGCGCCCGCGCCAATTGTGAGGTTGCCCACTTCACCCGATCTATATCCTTCTTGACATCATGGTACGCCGGTAGTCAAGCTGCCCAGCGCACCTGTTTCACCTCCCTGATCTCGAGATAATCTCCGTATTCTAGAAGATCTCCCATCGGGACATTGCTGTCGAGCCTTTGCACCGTCCCGTTGTTCCAGTGCACTAGAACCTTGGCGTACCGCTTGTCGGGTGCCAAGAAGGCCACGATGCGGTCACATGATGCTTCGGGGCGAACTGAAATGGTAAACGAAAAACTGTTTTCGCGTCGCAGCCCATTCCTTGTGTTGTCATATACCTCAAAGACAGGCCTGCCATTACGGCTATATCTGTGGGGCGGATGCGAACGGCTTTGACTGGTAGCACGCACGTCGGACATATGTCCAAGGTTATCGTGGCTATGGGAGATACCTGTCGGATGGGGGCAACATCTGCAAGTACATCTCGTGGGGTCTGAAGTGTGATAGCGTCCTTGCATGTCGAGGGGTACGATGTAAGTACCGTAGGTTGACCCTCGCTTGATTATCGCTGCCCGACCACTGTTGATTGTTGTGTTGATCTCCTCCTGGGGCGAACGATCCCGCCCTCGGTCAGAGCGAGAGCGTCGTCGGTCATTGCTCGCACGGCGCTCCCTGTTCAAATGGGAGTAATCGTCGTCCAATACTGTGGAAGAAGCTGAACCCCTTCTCGGGCGCAGGTTCTGATCTCGTCTGGAATGGTGATGATGAGGCTGCTGTTCCCACCTCATATGGTAAGGCACTTCGAAGTCGCCAGACCTACGTGAGTACGAATGAGAATCACGACTACTTGAGGCTCTGCTGTTGCGACGCCGATCATAGTCACTGTAAGCACTCTGGTTCAAATAGACGGAGCTTCGCCTCCTAGCTGCCGCAGCGTCAAGATCGTAACGTTGTGATGAGTACGACATGTTGGGCTTTGATTCGGTATACAGACCTGATTTGAGTCACTTTTTGGTTTGAGGTGAATTGGTTCTGTGATTTGTGTGGAAGTGTGAGTCTGTGAGCGTAGAAGAGGTTCGTGAGAGTAGCTTATTTAAAGATATACAGAGTCCATTAATGAGTCCATCATGACGGCCTTGAAGGTCGCCCATAGGGTCAACCTTGGAGGTGAACATAGGTTCAACTGAACATAATCGTGAACATCGTCTCTCCTTTGTTCAATTCGTATTGAGAACATCGAGTACTCTTTGTTCATCAGTCCCCATTTTTCAACATAATGTCCACTCGAACAATGTTCAAAGATAAGTCCATGGTTGTTCTGCAGAACTCGTCGAGTCGTTCCGCTTTCATCAAAGAAACAAGTCAAAGGGTTAATTCAGTTACACAGCTTCCGGACTTCCGCAAGATCATTTATGCTGAGCCTGTTCAGGCCAAGGACAACTATGCCTTTTGAGAGAAAATAGAAACGGGGTCTTTCACGTTCACGCGGGTCCCAAGATGGCAGGTCGATTTTTGTTTGATTAAACCAAATCCTAAACGGAAGCAATGGGAAGTTGGAAGAATGAATGGCGCGATGAGGCTCGGGGATGCAACGGAGGCCGACATATCAAATTAGGGGCACAACCTGAGATAAAGTCCCCTAAAATTTGAGATAAGCCAATCGTCTTGTCCCATCCTGTTTGCGGGCAGCTTCCCCACAGTGGCCAAAGGGGGCTAAGGGTGCGGCAAAAGCCACAAGGTGGAGGCCACTCTCCAAAAGGCCAGCAAAGACAAGTCCATTCCATTTCATCCCGCACTCTAATCTTTGCAACCATCTTCATACTCTATTCCCAGCAACCCCCAAATCCTCCTTTTGGCATTGCCATTTTCTCTTTCCTTGCTTCTTCTCTTCAATCCTTACCGGTCTCTTCAGCTCATTAATCAAGATGGCTCTCTCTCCCCAGATGTAAGTCGTTCTCCACGCGATAGCCTTCGCGCAGATTATCTATCTGTTGGCGCAAAGAAGAAAACGCTGACATTTGCGATAGCACCAACCTGATCATCATCTTGGGTATGATGCAGGTGTCGAAGCGTGTTCCTTTCGATGATCCTTTCGTGCTCAACGTCGTTCGCGCCGTCTACCTCGCCAGCAACGTCATCATCGCTGCTCTCTACTTCTACACCCAGCTGAAGATCAACAAGAAGAAGGGTACGATAACTTCGCTTCTGAGGCAATTTTCAACATCGCAATACTAACACAGTCCTCCACAGACCTCACAACCCTCAAGTATGTCGAGCCCGCCCCTATGGGCTCCACTGAGGAGGGCAAGCTTGTCACCACCACCGTCCACGCCTACGACAACCAGCAGATCCGCACCGCTTTCCGTGGTCAGGCTATGGGTATTGCCATGATGGCCTTCATGCACATCTACATGAAGTACACCAACCCTCTTCTCATCCAGAGCATCATCCCTCTCAAGAGTGCCTTCGAGAACAACATGGTCAAGATTCACGTCCTTGGCCAGCCTGCCGCCGGTGACCTCAAGCGTCCCTTCAAGCAGCCCCAGGGTTTCATGAGCGCCATGCAGGGTGGCCCCGCCCAGAGCGATAAGAAGGCCGTTGAGGCTGCTGAGCGCGCTGGCCGTGGTGGTGCCAAGGAGGAGTAAGCTAGGAATTCTGAAACGAATTTCGGCTTTACAGGATAGCGTGGGCCGTAACCTAGGGTTGTAATAGACCTTGGTTGTACTATCATACAGGTGTCATGGCTCGCAAAAGTATTTGCTTATGGCGAAAGCCTAAACCAAGGGATTGGAACATGTTGAGCAATTTCTTGAAATGATATCTAATGTAGAAAAGCAAGAAGATTATTACGGGAACTTGAGGATCATGACCTCGAAAGCCATGTACATTTTGGTGACTGTTGAGAGTTTGCGTAGGCTGTAGTCACGTTTTCTCGTGTAAATTGGTGGCATAATTCAGATTTCTAGATCGCGACAATCCGCCCCTCCGCCACCAATCGCCGTCATCGAGGACCCTGAGTCAAACGTCTCTTTTGACGTCTACACTCGGTCTCTTCTCTCTACCTTCTCTCCAAATTTTCTCTTCTGCCTTGTATTGCGAGTTTGTGACAAAGGCAGCTGTCTCTGTCTGCGCATTGTTCTTTCGGTACCTCATCTCCGGTACGATTGCTCATCATGGAACGACCATCTACACCACCTCGGGCAACAAAGCCTGCACCCACAATCACTCCGCCGACCCCAGAAGTTACGAAGCGCATAGTATGTAGAGTCATGGAGTAAAAATGTTTAGTTTCTGAAGATACTGACCTGTGTCTAGGAAGAGAACCGACTCCGCGCAAAGGCGATCAGAGACCAGCGTGAAGCCGAACAACGAGCGACCGGCACCGTACCCGAAATCCCCAAGAGCTCCGGAGGCTTTGTACCAACAGAAGACGTTTACATCTCTAAGACTGCCAATGGAAAGCGGCCGTACAGCTCTATCTCTACAGCCGATGCTTCTAAAGGAACAAATCGAGATGGGCGTAACAAAGGCGATGAGGAGACGTTGCGGCCGGCGCGCAAATTCACAAAGTTCGTCGATTACAACATGAGCGCCATGACAGATACGAAGGGTGGTTTCCTATCGACGGAAGATGATCCGCATAACTATGCTCTTGGTGGCAAGAAGCCTGGGCAGTCTGAGGATGACCAGCGACCGAAGCACATGAGTGTTCAGGAGTGGGAGCGATTACAGCTGATACGGAACTTGAAGAGGCTAAAGTCTGGTCCTTTTGAGCCTGGACTGAGTGTGCTTGCGGACGACGAGACACGAAAGAAGTGCCAGGACTGCAAGAGCTTGGAGATTGATTTCGTCTGGGAAGAAGTCTTCCATATCTGTGTTTGCAATAAGTGCAAGGAGAAATATCCAGAGAAGTACTCGTTGTTGACCAAGACTGAGTGCAAGGAGGATTACCTACTCACAGACCGTGAGTTGTTCTACGCAAGTTCTCAAGGTACCATCGCTAACATCAAATAGCCGAGCTACGAGATCCAGAGTTATTACCACATCTCTCGAAGCCGAACCCTCACAAATCGCATTGGCACGACATGATGCTCTTCCTCCGATGTCAAGTAGAAGAATACGCGATTAAGACGAAGTGGGGGTCTTCAGAAGCTTTAGACGCAGAGTATGAGCGACGGGAGACACAAAAGAAGGCTCGCAAGGAAGCCAAGTTTAAAGAGAAGCTACTTGACTTGAAGAAAAAGACAAGGACGGACGCCTTTCGCAGACAAGCTGGCAATTTGAGCAAGTCTGGTGCAAGCAAGTTCGGTGATGCAATAGGAGGTGGGCGACATGTTCATGAATGGGGACGAACAGTTGAGAATGAGGATGGGATGACGGTCAAGACATGTGTTGATTGCGGTATGGAAGTTGAGGAGCTTGTGTTTTGATGCCGTCACATTATCATTTGAGGCCTGGGTTTGGAGTTTGGGGTTCTGAGGATTAAAGCACAGTGGTAGGCCTAACCAGGTTCGAGTATGATCAGGCATTGAATCAAGTTATCTTTCCCGTGATTGGTATATCAGAGCAGAGCCTTATTCGGGGGACTAATGTTGGGTAACCAATTCAATTTTGGTTACCAGGTTTCACGGTCTTGGTTTCGATTAAGGACTCCTTGTATGTTTGACTTTCAAACGACCAGCACTAAAACAAGACACAAACAAAGGCGTTGTTTGTCATCAAATTTGCTTTGTTAGGACGGGAGCTGAAAGTCCCTGTTGGTTATCGGTCCCTGTATCGGTGATCCGCACCCTTAGCCAGGGGTTTCAAGTTGATGCCTGACAGCCTCACATCGATTTCCAAGTCAAGCTTGTTCAGCGCTGATTGGCCAAAATCTCAGCGGCAAACCGTCAATACAGAGGATAGCACCAACTAGCAGCGTGGAGGTACAGGGCACCACACAGGACAGCACAACAGACAGATGCACCCGACCTCAAAGTACCCGACCAAGACTGGCAAGCTTGGTTTCTTAACAGCACACGACCCGACGCTCAATTTTTTTGGCTTTCTATCGGCAGAAAGTAAACCACGATATCACGATCCGACCTCGATTCAGATAGTCCAGGAGCGAATCTTCACCGAGACGACAACACGTGCCAAGGCTCGTTGTATCTTTCGCACAGGAGCTTCCAAGTTCCAACATCTGGCCTCGTCACATCTGATCACATCACATCACACTCCATCCACCGCACCGAGCTTGTCCGACCTCGAAACCGGCACTCGCTCGCCTCCATCGCCATCTCTCCCAAACCGACTCGAAGCTCCATGCACCCGCCCAATTGAGAGAGGCGCGCCGCGATGGGCCCTAATGCTGGCAACGGCGTGGGCGGCCTGGAGATGGGACCTATGATGCAGGGCAATGGCTCCAACATCCCCCAGGCCACCGAGTACACCCTCCAGGGCGTCATGCGATTCCTGCAGACAGAATGGCACAGACATGAGCGCGATAGGAACTCGTGGGAGATTGAGAAGCAGGAGATGAAGGGCCGCATCGCCAACCTCGAGGGTCAGGCGCGGAGGGCCGATGCTACTCAGCGCGTCCTGAGGAAATACGTGACTATGCTGGAGCGAAAGGTTAAGGAGCAGACGGCTCAGCTTCAGGGTCAGGAAGCAGTTGATGCAGAGACGGCAGCTAAGAATGACCGGGCTGCTAAGATACAAGAGAAGCTTAGATGTGAGCAATGCCCCTTTGTGTTGACTTTCCGTACTAACATTATTACAGCTACCTTGGAGGATATGCCCGTGCCCGGTGTCGATGGCGTTAACTATGAGAAGCTCGACCGAGGTGACGAGGAAGCTCAACGACAAGATCTTAAGACCTTTCTTGATCAATGCCAATCCGAATTTATGTACCTTATGATTACACCCGCGAACCCGCAGCCACCGCGAGAATCTCCCCCGCTACCGATCATGGAGGATCTAAGAGAAGTCGAGGCGTTTGGCATGCCAGCCCCCCAGCAGCAATTCCAGCTACCTACACGAAATGCTCAGAATCACTCTCAAGAAATGAACTCTAGGATATCTCAGCAAAATCATGCGCCTCATAGTCAAAACCAGCAGCAACACTTTGGTCAGAAGCAAGAACACCAGCCTCAGCCAATGGTGCGGTCTGAGCATCCACCAGTCATGTATCAAAACTCTAATGACTGGCCCGCGCCCGTGTCAGTAACATCCCGACCGGTTGAAGATCATATGCCACAAGCAAACCATGCGGCAGAAGTTTTGGGTGGGATGGATGATTCTGCTGAACTTAGAGAGAAACACTCTGCACAACCTGAGAATGACGGATGGGAGTTCCCTGAAGGCACATTCCCCGAACCTGGAAACTCCCAACCCAATGCTCAACCTAACCGCCCTGATACTGATGCTTTCCCTACCGCCGATAACCTCCCCAAGTCGCCGAGCCGACGAGATAGCTCTCACCGACGAAAAGGCTCCATGTCTAGAAGACGTAGTGCCGATCATGAGCTAGCCTTGGCTGCCCAAAAAGCTGAGAGTGGTAATTTCAAGCTCAGATTTGGACTCCGAGGTCATCTCGACACTGTTCGCACAATCATATTCTCTGGAGGCGGTAGCCCCGGCGAGCCAGAAATCTGTACTGGAGGAGACGACGGTATGATCAAACGCTTCCACATTCCTCGATTAGATGGTCACCCTGGCGGTCTTGCGCACACAGCGTCAGACCTTGATGTTACAGCCAACTTTACACACCGTGGTCACTCAGGAGCAATTCTATGTTTGACATCGTGGTCACCCTCGCCGAATTTCTCAACTGGAGGTCGTGCACAAGGCGACGGCTGGATATTCTCCGGCGGCCAAGATGCGACCATTCGAGTTTGGGAGCGTGGAAGGGTCGACCCTAAGGCGACTCTTGAAGGACATACCGATGCAGTCTGGGCTATCTGCGTTCTGCCAGCAACTCTTGGTCAAATATTCGGAAGCTCAAGTCCTTACGGTAGCACGGATCGTATCTTGGTTGTTTCGGGTGCTGCAGACGGCAGTGTTCGTTTGTGGTCAGTGAGCGCACCTCCTCAGCTGAGCTCACCACAACCTGGAACAAATCGAGCCATGACTGGCCGCGGAGGCAGGGTCCGTGGTAACTCGATGAGCTCCGGCAGTGGATTCTCCAATACTCCCCAGCCTACTATCGCCTCCAACTCGCCTTTCAACCATACACTTGTACACAACATCTCGAGGTCTGACGGCTCCACCGCCAGTCCGACGTGCATCACACCTCTGGGTACCACTGGAGAGTCGTTCGTTGTCTCGTACTCAGATGCCGCCATTATCGTTTATGACACCCGAACCGGTGAACAAATCGGCAACATGGACAGCCTTGAAACATATGATCAGTCTAACAAGACCAGCGTTAATGCCGTTGTGGCGACGACAATCGGTCTCGATCAGGCTAACCAAAACCATAGCGGTAGCATAGGCGAGGAAGATGCCAGTTCAGGTGCTACTGGAGGTGGACGATCCATGGCTGGTTCAGGTGTCGAGGGAACTATCATATCTGGCCACGAAGACCGCTTCATCCGGTTCTTCGATGCCAACAGCGGTAAGTTGCATGTATCACGAATATTTGCAAAGACTAATTGTTATCTAGGCCAATGTACATATAACATGATTGCCCACCCCGACGCCATTTCCAGCCTTTCGCTCAGCCCTGACGGCCGTGAACTCGTCAGCGCCGGTCACGACGCCTCCCTCCGCTTCTGGAGTCTTGAGAAGCGTACATGCACGCAAGAAGTGACGAGTCACCGCGTGATGCGCGGCGAAGGCATCTGCGCCTGCGTATGGAGTCAAGATGGTAAATGGGTAGTCAGCGCTGGCGGTGATGGTGTGGTCAAGGTGTTTGCACGATAATGGGGATAGATGCTTTACATGTATGTATGTCATGATATGGAGGAACTTCTTTTTTTATTCCAAAGGGTACGGGAGGTGCATTGTTGCTTGGCGGACCATGGTATTGTAGCAGTTGTATTGGGGTGCCCAGCAACCCAAGTGTCATAGTATCTGTACATGTTGAGGAGGGTGATTTCGCTTATTTATACTACTCGTCGATACCCGGCATTTAGTGGTGGCTTATCTTTTACTTCTAGTATCATCACGGAGTGTATTCATAGTAACATATTATTGAAGGCAAAAGACCAGCTAGACAGTGATCTACTATGTAATGTAATGAGAAGAGTGCAAAAAAAAAAACCTGCGTATCGCAGGTGGCTGGATCTCTCCCGCCGGGAATTGAACCCGGGTCTCAAGCGTGACAAGCTTGCATACTGACCACTATACTACGGAAGACACATTTTTCCCTAAACAGGCTTAGCCTGCTGTAGTGAGAGGGGGTTATACTGAGACCAGGGTTGATAGAGTATATGAATTGATACTATCGCGACCCCACCTTGGCTGCGAATCTGGTGGGGGTAGGAACTTAATATAAACCCAAAACCTCTGACTCAACTACAACCACAATAGCTTGTACATCGCATTGATTGCACCTCCCACGACCCCAATCTGCTGTGCTGCAGAGACAATTTCAGAATGCTGCCAACTGCAGCTGCTGTCCTTAGGGCCAGCGTTCGCCCGGCTGCTTCCCGCACTCTCACTCGTGTGTCCGCGCCCACCCTAACCTCGATCCGATGCCTCAACCGCGCCCTCTCAACAACTCATGCCCTCGCCGCCGCTTCCTCGCTCAACAGAGATCGGGCCCGTGAGATTGTGGCCCAGACTATTAGCAACATTGGCAGCAAGCGTGAGACAGCAGCGTACCTCAAGGTCTTCACACTTACCTCGCAACATTTTGCCGTCATCAAGGTCGGGGGTGCCATTCTTCAGGAGCACCTAGATGAGTTTTGTGGAAGTATACTGTTGCTCTACGAGCTTGGGCTATACCCGGTCATTGTCCACGGCGCTGGTCCGCAGCTGAATTCCCTCTTAGAGTCCGAGGGGGTGGTTCCTCAATTCGAAGATGGAATCAGAGTTACTGATGAGAAAACCCTTACTGTTGCGCGCAAGCTTTTTCTGGAAGAAAACCTGCGACTTATCGAACGCTTAGACTCGTTTGGTGTTGCAACACGATCTATACAGGGAGCTTTCGGAGCATCTTACCTTGACAAGGACAAGTGGGGGTATGTCGGCAAGGTCACTGAGGTTCGGAAGCAAGCTATCGAGAGCAGTATATCAGCCGGATACATCCCGATCCTGACTTCAATGGCTGAAGGGGATGACGGTCACCTCTTAAATGTTAATGCGGACGTTGCGGCTGCTGAACTTGCTCATGCCCTCAAGCCCTTAAAGGTTATCTACCTCTCAGAAAAGGGAGGCCTTTTTGATGGTGAGGGGAAGTTGATCTCACAGATCAACCTTGATGATGAGTTTGATACCCTCATGGCTCAGCCCTGGTGTCGTTACGGCACCCGTCTTAAAATCGTCCAATCCCACGATCTCCTCAACAGTCTTCCCCGAAGCTCTAGCGTGGCTATCATCCACCCTGGTAACCTTCAGAAGGAACTCTTTACTGACTCTGGCGCTGGTACACTCATACGCTTGGGCAATCGCATTCAAAAGACTTCCTCCATCAAGGAACTTAAGGATATCAAGAAGCTCGAGGCTAGGCCAGACAGCAGCTCCGACAATCTTGATATTCCGGCTATCGTTGATCAATTCGCCAGTATACTAACAGAGAAGAAGTTCACTGCCTACTACGATGATGCTATGCACTGTATGGCTATCATCATGCCTCAGGATCAAGGCATGGCTATACTGACGAGTCTGTCTACTACGAAGTCTGGCTGGCTTAATGGTACGATGGAGAATATCTTTACAAATATTAGGAAGGATTACCCTACTCTGGCTTGGGCTGTCAGTGAGAGAGATGAGAACTTGACATGGTTCTTTGAACAGGCCGATGGCAGCTTCCACGAAAACGGCAGAGTTCTCTTCTACTACGGAAGCGATATGCGCTCAGTGGCTCTCAGCTCTGTATACGAGAACTTCGTGTCTGGACGAGCGTCGCTTGGCGACTCCAACCTTGAAAGCGGCGGAACAGCTTGAAGCGGAGACAGGCCCACTACTACCAAGGTAGAATGGATCAACTGTATGTCTGAGGTAGGCAGAAGCGATCAATCTACCTACCTTAGTACTACCTATTCCCCGTCATCGTCCTCTTCGACATTGTCCTCGAGATTAATAGACTGGTCAGCAGCCTTTTGTTTCTCTTGTGCTTTTCTTTCCATGTCACGGCTGTGCTGGTTCTCCTTGTCAACGTCTCCATGACAAGTCTTGCATCGTGCAAGGCCAGGTCTTCCCTCCCTTTACATTTCTCGCAAATCGGTTTCGGCCTTTCTAGACACCCCGCGGACCTTGCTTGCCATGGCATAATCTCTCCATCGCAGCCATCCTCGATGCAGTCCGTTTCAATGTCCTCTTCTCTCCTCTTCCTAAAATGGTCGGGCGTTCGCTCTCTGCCCACCTGAGTGGCAAGCTATCGAAAGTGGGAGGCGGACTGAATTTTCGTCGAAGTCCGTCGAAGGACCTTAAAAGGGTGGTATATGCGTCTTGCTCGAGAATGCCTAAATACAGGTGCCTTGTTATAAGCAGCGCATATTTAAGGTAAAACTTCGTCAGTATTTAACTGCCACGCTCAAGGGCCGCCTTGTGGGCACAAACTCAACCACATCCACATGGCAATGAAACCGGTGAGCATTTATAAACTCAAGAGTAAAGGTAAGATAGCTCTTTGGGGCAGGTCAATACTTGAGCGGGTTCTCTTACTTGTTCTATATACTTTGTGACCGTCGTGCTGAGTGACTTTGAACCTCGAGATCTAGGGTATGTTGGCTCCGTTAAGCATGATGGCTTATGCCGTGAGCTGTGGCCATTCACTTGTTTTTTGACGATGTAAAAACAAGTCTCAGTTGACTTGTAGTGAGAATCGAGCCTGGTAAAACTCATCCAATGGCAAGGTTTCCATTCCACCATCAAGCGAGTTGCAACAAAGATACGCAATCGCTGGACAACTCTACAAGGGCTGTAGATCAAGCATCATTCAAGCTGTAAAGAACTCTGTTTATTTAGTATTGAGTTAATACAATCGCCTATGTTACCTGTTGGAGTCACATTGGCATCATGAAGTTAACTCTATTCTTCTCTTCTCTTCTGCCACTGAGACTTGGTGAAACTTCCCAATCAGGAAAGTATTCAAAACATGAACCAGGTTCCCCGGATCATAAATCACCTGACGTCAAAGCCGATGGACCTCGGCATCCTCCACTCATTGAACTTATACAGCAGCTTCCAAATCTGACACTCGAAAATCGGAATATCAGACTCATTTTATTTCCAAAATGTCGACGTATGAAACAGCTCGAGATCAGTTCATCACTGTAGATGGCATCAAGTTCGCCTACAGGCGCTTCGGCGCGAAACACGGCGTACCCCTCACATTGTGTATGCACTTCAGGTGAGTTCTCTTCGATTATGAGCTATGGGCAAAAGCTGACGATTCCAGGGGAACAATGGATCATTGGGACCCAGCTCTTATAAACCCTATCGCGGCCAAACGCCCCATCATCACCATTGACAACGCAGGCGTAGGACGCTCTGAGGGCGAAGTCCCCAAGCAATACAAGCAATGGGCACAATACTACATCAACGTCCTCCGCGCACTTGGTGTCAGCAAGACTGACGTGATGGGATTCTCCATGGGCGGCTGTGTTGCTCAGCTCGTCGCCCTCAACGGAAAGGATCTTGTTCGCCGCCTGATCCTGTGTGGAACTATGCCTAGCACAGGCGAAGGTGTTGTACCAGCGCCTTCTCTGAAGGCATTCAATGCTCTCAATGCTGCCAAGACGGAAGAAGAACACAAGGAAGCTTTTCTTATGAGCATGTTCAACACTTCTGATAAGAGCAGGGCCGCGGGTGAGGCTGCGTGGAAGAGAATTACTAGTGCACGAAAGGATAGAACTGATCATGTTGATCCTGCGAATGCTCGTCGACAGGGAATTGCTTTTGCAAAGTTTATGGACCCGAAGCAGGCTAAAGATGCGTCTTACGACCGGTTGGAGGAGCTTCGTATACCTGTGCTGATCGCAAATGGTAAGTTGGGCTGGTACTTGAACTAGAAAGCACTAACACAAGAGTAGGAAGTGAAGATCTTCTGTTGCCCACAGAAAATAGCATTGTGATATGGAAGAAGCTGAAGAATGCCCAGGCGCAACTACATTTGTACCCCGATTCTGGACATGGCTTCCTGTATCAGTATGCGGATGAGTTTTCTAAACTGATCAACGTTTTCTTGGGTGATGAGTCGAAGCTATCAAGCCGCCTTTAGACATAAACACACAAGTGTGTACGATCGAATACGACGGGATTGAATAGAAATTTGAACGATGATATGTTTATATGTAAAGATCGTGTATATGCATCAATGGATATTCAAGTTCACCCATGACCAGCCCCAAGCAAAGAACCCAACGCCTTTTCCTCTATCCTAGACCAGCTATAGTAAAATCATCCCCATGTTTATTTCTTGCACTTGCAATTAGGATCAAACACCACAGGGCAATCACAGCAGACTTCATCCTTGGACCAGGTGATATGGGCACCCCAATTGTAGACCTGGTTGAGGGTGTTGTACTCAGAGTACGCCTTCTTGACCTTCCCAGTCTCAGGGTTCAAGAACACCATATCAATACCATTGCCGCGACCACGACGAGTTCCCTTGGGGACCTCGAAGTCACCCTTCCAGTAGAAGGTGAAGGAGTTGCAGCCGTAGGCGATGGGTCCTTTGATGAAGGCGCTGGGGTCATTAGTCTTTTCAGTGTTGCCCTCGATGAGCTCCTTGCGGTTCTTGTAGATGGGAGGAAAGTCATCGTTCTGAAAGTTGTTAGTCTAATGGGTGCATGAAAGGCACGGATATGCTTACATTGGCGTACTTGTTGATCTTGGAGGAGGATGAAGTCCACCAGATAGACTGAGAGTAAAACTTGACGTCCTCATCGAAAATAGTCTTGGCCAAAGCTCCACCATCGGTGATACCAGAGAAAGTCGAGACGTATTTGTTGACTATAGACTCAAGCTTGCTCTTCGAAATGCACTTTGTGCTCTGAGCCGTCGCCTTCTTGCCCCCGGTATTGGTAGCGCCAGAACTAGAAGCCTGCTTCTGCCCAACAGGCTGATACTTGTTCGTCTCGGGATGATCATAATTTCCTCCGTAAGCGTTGTAGCCAGCCTTGACGGGAATACCAGCAGCAGGAAGGACACCGTCAGCCCTGCGGTGGATATTCTTAGCTGAAGTTGAGATGGCGCAGGCCAGGATAGAGAGCGCGAGGTAAGCCTTCATTTTGTACGATGAACCACGGTTTTTTCTTGTTTTAAAGAGAGTGGAATTGATCTAAAAAGATCAGGAGTTTCAAGTTTGTGGGGAGGTGGTTAAAGAGAGACTGAGACAAGGCCTCCGCAAACGGGAGGGACTCGTCATCTTATACCCTGTGACCGTCAGGACGATCATTGTGTACAAAGTCAAATCGTTAGCGAGGATTGTCATGTAAGTTTGAGCTATTGCTGCTCTAGATTCGCGTGCCTTTGATGGTGGCCGTGGCAAAATTCCAGTTGTTCCTGGACTAGACTCGATGCAGCGGATGTGGAATTGGACTTGAGGGTTTAGTTGAAGATACTGAAGGTCATATATAATAGAAAGAAAGTAAGACATACATAATTAATAATGAATAGCCTGTGTAGCTGCGTTCCTAGACTAAATTATGCTGTGTTGTAGAATGTCTCATCTTACTCACAAGCGGTTCAAGTGACACTATTCCCGCATCTTCAACATCTTCAACATAGACTTGGCATGTCCAAAGGCGTTCCTGTGGCGCACTCTAACCATCAGCCATTCAAATACTTATACACCAAGAGACTGGTGATCTGTGTAAGTGAACGCCTACAATAGTTGGCCCAGCGACTTCGGAATGTTGTCTCCTATCGCCAACCCCGACCCCAGCACGTATCCGGAACATGGTACGACGCCTGTGGCTCTTCCATTTCTTCTAGTCTCAGGAATCGCTGTTTAACATACGATTGCTTGAGTTGTCTATTGTGTTTCGAGATCTTGATCGTCGTTGGGCTTGTTTCCACGTTCCGATAACCTGGGTAATTGTGGAAGCGTTGAGAGCGATCGGAGAACAGGCTAGTGGTTTGAAATCATGCCTTCACGTGCATTGGTCTGTGGTGACATCTCACTTACACAAGGTATGAAGTTAGCGGGCAAGAGTTCTCCTTGCATGGCCAATATATTAATAGCTTTATTTTATGGTCTTTATATTGCTAGAAAGGAATAAAAACTTAGTCTATTTTTTTTTCTATGTATAGAGAGGTGAATACTAGACTGATAATAAGAGGGCCTAGAGTGCGGTAAGCTCTTAGGGAGTAAGAAAATATAATATTTTAGAAGAGGATGCTAAAATAAACTCAATAAAGACTCCCCTAATTTTAGACTAGATTTCCTAAGCCTTTTCATCCCTTAGGATCAAGGTGCTCAGTTTTTTTCCCTCCCCCTTATATCACCATGGTATCTTGACTGGTCCTCATCTCAAGACGTTCTTTCACTCCACACCCCGAGCCTTCATAAAATCCACCATATCGAAGAAACTCTTCTTATACCTCCTCTCCTGCGTCGTCCTATTAACAGTCTGTATTCCAAAATGCGCATCATAGTCACCAAACTCCCAATTATCCGCAAAGCTCCACGCATACGCTCCCACAACCTCAACACCATCCTCCCAAATCGCCTTGAGCGTCTCAGACAAGAAGCTCAAGTAGTAGATACTTCTCGGTGTATCAAACAACTGGTCAGATAAGTCCTTTTCAGCTTCTCCGTAAACGGGGAAACCAAACTCTGTGAGTGCGACAGGGGTCTTCCATGTGTTGTGCAGGTAGTTGAGATAGCTGCGCAGGTAGGTTGGTGTTATGTACACGTAGCTCTGGGAGCGGTAGCCGATGTTCCAGCCGTTGACGGTTGTGGTGGTTTGGTTGACGCAGTAGGGACGGAATGTTGAGGAAGAGTTCGAAGCACATTCGAGAACGCTGTCTTTTTCGTCTGGGACAGGTGGTGCGATTACCGTAGCGGTGTATGGATCAATACCCAGGAAGTCTGCGGTACCGCCAATGTACTTGAGATCATCCTCACTCAGCGGCACATAATCATCAAAGGTCTTCTTAAATGACTCAGGGTAGTCCTCGCCAAGGAAAATCGGGTTGCAGAATGGTCCCAGTTGAATAGAGTTGAAGTGGTCCGCAGCGTAGACATCAGCTTCACTCTTGGGATCACGGGGTACACCAAAGTTGTTGTTGAACTTGAGTGCAATCTTGCCCTTTCCGCCAAGTTCCTCCTTATACCAGTGGTAAACTCGCGCGTGGGCCTTGACCACATTGTTGATGGAAAGTGCATTGTATGAGTAGAGAAGAGGCTCGTTGAAGGTGAACCAAACAGGTACACGATCAGCATAGTGTGCCATAGCAACCTTTGCATAGTGAACGAAAGCATCTTGGAAAGTCTCGTTCTGATAACCGCCGTTGACGTAGCCAATCTCAGGTGGATCAGCAGCTTTGGTAAGGTTGCTGCCATAGAACTGAAGAGGCGTATCGAAGTGAAGCAGGGTAACCTCAGGAGTCATGCCCTTCTCAAGGATAAAATTGATCACATCGTTGTAATGATCAATACCCTCCTGGTTAACAGGCGTTCCAGGCAGAGCAAAAGGCAGGATTCGTGTCCACGCAATACTGAACGAGAAGTGCTTAGCACCCATCGCAGCAACCCGCTCAATATCTTGCTTGTAGTAATAATAATGCTCGTTCGTAACATAATCCTTGACACGGCCATCTTGGACGAGGATGTCCATGAGAGACGGCGCCTTGCCCTCTTCCGCAGTGGCACCCTCGATTTGACTCGCAGAGCTAGCGACTCCGAAGCTGAAGTTCTTGGGGAAGTTGTAGCAATCCGAAGGACCAAAGTAGTCCCTTGGCGGAAGGACTAGTTCACTGCTTGGAATCGGAGTAGGGGATACAGTTGTGCTGAAGATTCCCGTCTCGGTGAAGTTGGGCGGGTTTGCATGCTCCCAGAGAGCAGTCCATGCGGCGCGCCCATGAGGATCTTCTGTATCTGAGGCTTTTGTGGTGGCATTTGGATCCCATTTTCCCCATGTCGTGAAGGACAGTGAGGGAACTAGCGAGATGAGTGACTCTGGTGGATTGGCGTATGTAGTCGTTGTAGTAGGAGATGGCACCGAGGTAGCATATCTCACAGTCTCAGAGAGGGTATAACTAAAGGGTGTATGCGTGTATTTCGGCTTATCATGTGTCTTTGCAGCCTTGCATTGAGGGCGTTCAGTAGGACCCTTGGCATCAAGATAGATCTGCTGGCCAACAGCCAGAGACGCAAAGAGGAATTGTATAGCGTATGAGGGTGTCATGATGAGCGACCGAGACACAGAACTAACGAGCAAAACAACCCGCACGATCTCACGATATATATGCTCATACTATCTCCTCATGATCCGTCCTTGCCGCGAAAAACTCACCATCTATTCCGAACCGAAAAGCACTGAACTTCCGCGTGTTAGTCGATTCCCAGACTTTTCGGACCGATTCAAACCTGTTCTTTATAAGAAATCGCGGGGAAGATGTGGGGATGTAACGGTCAAGCTCTCTCTTCACAAAGCCACGGATACTCCGATTTACACGGGAAACCGCATGTGTTGGCGGTACCGATTGCCATTTTCTCTCCTCTAAGCGGTGACGGCATCGTGCTATTAGATTTCCCCGGACCAAGATTATGGTGCTGACCTTGTCGATCTTTGCGGGTTATGGCCCAGGGATCCGGTTTACCCCAGAGTTGTGGTCCAATGGAAGGATAGGATGAAAACCTAATGGGAGCCGATGGTGAGAACCGTCTTTTGTATTTCGCCGAAGTCGAGCGATTGACATGATATTTCGGGGTTTCGGGGTATCTCGAGAGGGAAAGGTCAGGGAGCTAGCCAGAAACCACATGATATCATTGAGAGCGCATCATTGAAGTATAATTCATTATTATGGGAAAGACATGAATACAACACAGGCTCCGCCCTAGAGTATAGTAACCATCTTTCATCGAAGTTCTTCCTCGGTTCATTGTTCGCTGTGTATGAGCATCTGGGCACGGTGACACACTAGCTGATTGATGAGATCTAGGAAAGTTCCAATCATAATAGATATCCTTGCCAATATAGTAGTATTGGGTTCTTGGAATCACATTTAGACTGCCATAGTCTACCATGTCTACTGTCCCGAATGACACAA